AAAGCATCAGTTGAGTCCAGCTTACTTCCATGATGCATCATCCACATCAACAAGGAGCAGAATTCCATGAGGTGATTCAAATTAAAAATGACTAAGGTATTTAAAAACATTCTTAGTTATCAATTCATATTATTTTACTACTGAGTGCCTTGGTTTACACTCGCAAAAGGAAGCATCAGAAGCCAATTCTATAGCAAGGTCACATATTAAAATAGGAAGGGAGTTTTCAGAAAGTGTGTTGTAGTGCAAGTACTGTAACTATAAGGGCATGAAAGCCTAAATCTCACTCTTGTAACCAATCAAGAGGAAAGAAATAAACTTGTAAGTGATACAAAGGTATGCGAAATCAAACATCGTGCAGAGGAAAAATTCCAAATAATTAGTTATATCTGGTCAGAAAAAGTACCCCACTGCTTCAGACTACTCAAATTAGCCACGATGATATCTTCCCTATGAAATAGACACATTACTTGTTATTATTGGATCCAGGGCTCGAAATTTAAAAAACAATTCTTGATCGTGATTTGCGAATAATTCCTAAAATTTAGTTGCAAGTTGGAAGAGTTTGGTAGCAAAAGTAACCAACCTTAGAAGTTTCATGAGCATTGCCTGACATAGTTTCTGAAAAGGTGCGCCCGCAATACGCTTCTTCGCAAGAAATCAATGATAAAAGTCACACAACATTTAACTTGAATTTTGCAGGATTTTCCGAATAAAACTACAGCAACCAGTAACAAGTAAGACACAAGGCTGTTAAATATCTTTTGTTTAAAAGCTAGGCTGTAAAATAGTCGCAAAATCACTACCAATGGAGAAATTATAGTTGCGAAATCTTCATTCACAAATGCACCCGATACAGGCACAATTTCGAGCCCTGGGATCACACAAAAAGAGAGTGAACATTATTACAGTTGGTTCTGTGTACAATCAGTATTCCCATCTTGACAGCATATCCTAAGCAACATATTGTATTCATTTTGCAATAATTTTAAAAAAAAAAGATTTTTTTACCGCATTTACCTGTGTATAATTCCATGGCCGGGTAAATAATATGAGTGAGCAACAATATGTCGGAAAAGTATTGAAGATTTTGTGTCATATCGTCGTATTTTTAGAATTTCAAACTAACACTATGCAATTTTCTGGTCGTAAAGTCAAGTAAACAACAATACAATCACGATGAATCCCACTGTGTGTGCTTTGTACACATAAGAAATTCACACGTTTTTTGCTTATAACAGCAAATCAAGTACTGCTTTAAATAAAGCTTTTGTCCTGAAATATTTCTTGCTCACTTTCTTCTTGCTTCTCATTGAAAAACTCCATGTAACTTGAGATTTTTGCATATCCATTCTGAAATCTGATCCATGTGCCTGTTTGCACACTTGCAAAAATAATTAGGGATTTTTGCCTTCCCTCTTGATTTTAGAGTAAATACTTAATATCCACCTATAATTTTTCATAAAAGTCTTTGATTAAATAACTTATTTTCAATTATTAAATAACTTATTTTCAACACATTTAAAAATGTGTTGCCTTTTTTGTTGTGTTTTTAATGTCTGCAAATTAGAATGTGCGTGGCAAACAATGGAATCCGCAATTTTGGTTATTTTTGTAGAAAAAAGTGTGCATTATATATGGGTAAATACGGTAATCATTTAATTTTGGTATATTTAATAGGTTTACCATTATCATATTGATCACAGTTACTTCAGACAAGCTGACTAATTGATTATAAAAAAATATATCATTTTTTGGCTCTCAGAACTCTAAACCTTTTATACCCCAACATTGGTATGCATATTTTCCATACTGTTATCTAAACATGTCCTAAGGACTATCCCATAATTTCACAATCATGGTTTTTTTGTATGCATATGATCTAACAAAGATCAAAATGGCTGGATATGAAATGACCATGGGTATGAATTGACTGGTAATATTCCACTAAGTACTGACAAAGAAGATTTCTGGAACAATTTTTTAGGACGTAGTGGAAAACTTGTAACATTTAACCCCTCTCAGATTGGTATTAGCCTGTAAAGATCCTCCTAAATGAGCTGGATGCTTGTCTTGAACTAAAATTTTTTCTTAACACACTTTCAGTAATAAACAATTCCCAGTGCAGAAAAAAAAACACAATCTTTACTCAAGTATAAACTAAAAATTTACCAACTCTCTTCTTCTCACAAGATGCTTTTGAAATTGCCACTCCTATCATTTGCAGTAAACAGGTGACATTATTATGAAACAGTTTTGGCATAACTGACTAAAAACATTCTCTGTAGCTAAGCCTGGAATGACATAATCGTCTGGGGTGCAATTCCTTAGGGGTACTCAGTTTTTTTTTTCCTTGTCCTATGCTATTGACAAAATGTATCACAATATCTGAGCTAAAAATGTATTTTCTTTCATATTCTATTCACTACTGACATGATGCTTTCAACATTGCTGATTGCACAATATTGCACTATAAAGTGAGCCTACAGTAGCATTGGCCTACCTGTAACTCACAAGAAGTTTCTCTGAAGCTAAGTTGTAAAGCATCAGTTGAGTCCAGCTTACACAATCCTTACAAGATNACGTTTGTGTACCTTGTTTAGCCGTATTGATGTTTCTACGTCACATCTCGCCCCAACTCCTTCAAATACTACTCCCGGTCATTTTCTGAATCGAGTAATGGCGGCAGGACATTTACGAAAATTGTAGTGCAAATAAACACACTTCCAGATCATATTTCGACTCCTAACTTGGCACGGTAAGTCACTTTTACATATATTTTCGAAATATGTAATAAAAAACGAAACCCCAAATTTGATCGTAGTAGCACTTTAATATACACCTATAATTTTTCATAAAAATCTTTGATTAAATAACTTATTTTAAATTATTAAATAACTTATTTTCAACACATTTAAAAATGTGTTGCTTTTTTTGTTGTGTTTTTAAAGTCTGCAAATTAGGATGTGCGTGGCAAACAATGGAATCCGCAATTTTGGTTATTTTTGTAGGAAAAAGTGTGCATTATACATGGGTAAATACGGTAATCATTTAATTTTGGTATATTTAATAGGTTTACCATTATCATATTGATCACAGTTACTTCAGACAAGCTGACTAATTGATTATAAAAAAAAAATATCATTTTTTGGCTCTAAACCTTTTATACCAGAACATTGGTATGCATATTTTCCATACTGTTTTCTAAACATGTCCTAAGGACTATCCCATAATTTCACACTCATGGTTGTTTTGTATGCATATGATCTAACAAAGATCAAAATGGCTGGATATGAAATGACCATGGGTATGAATTGACTGGTAATATTCCACTAAGTACTGACAAGGAAGATTTCAGGAACAATTTTTAAGGACGAAGTGGAAAACTTGTAACATGATCCTTTGGGCAGTAATGGTTAATTTAACCCTTCTCAGATTGGCATTAGCCTGTAAAGATCCTCATAAATGAGCTGGATGCTTGTCTTGAACTAAAATTTTTTCTTAACACACTTTCAGCAATAAACAATTCCCAGTGCAGAAAAAAAAAAAAATCTTTACTCAAGTATAAACTAAAAATTTACCAACTCTCTTCTTCTCACAAGATGCTTTTGAAATTGCCACTCCTATCATTTGCAGTAAACAGGTGACATTATTATGAAACAGTTTTGGCATAACTGACTAAAAACATTCTCTGTAGCTAAGCCTGGAATGACATAATCGTCTGGGGTGCAATTCCTTAGGGGTACTCAGTTTTTTTTTTCCTTGTCCTATGCTATTGACAAAATGTATCACAATATCTGAGCTAAAAATGTATTTTCTTTCATATTCTATTCACTACTGACATGATGCTTTCAACATTGCTGATTGCACAATATTGCACTACAAAATAAGCCTACAGTAGCACTGGCCTACCTGTAACTCACAAGAAGTTTCTCTGAAGCTAAGTTGTAAAGCATCAGTTGAGTCCAGCTTACACAATCCTTACAAGATGATTAAATCCTTTCTTTAGCAGATTGCAGCATTTGAAACAGGCCTGGATAAATCATATCTGACGAATTAAGATTTCCTTCTGACAAATTATTGTGTTCAGGCAGCTTTTTAGGCTGTTTTGGTGGTAAGGAGGTGCTCCCAGGATTGAGTTCTAAATTGATGCTGATAGAATCACAAGTATTTTGCTTCAGAACCACACCAATCTCCTCTTCAGCTGACAGATTTTATGTTAAAATAGAAATTCATTTCAGTGATCAAGCCATGCAAATTGTGGGAAATATACAGGTCTACTGAAGTTGGTGCTTTCATAAGTACACAGTTGACACGGAATTCCACTCTGTAGCTACAAATACAAGTGCCTTTAGAGAAATAATAGTTGAGATTTGAAAAACATTTCAGTGCAAGCTCTTTACTTCAGACAAGTTTGACATTGGTTACAAACACTGATTGTGATAAAATATTAAATCATATTTATTAAAACTAAACTCACTACATTTGTGCTCAGAGAAATCTGTCCAAGTCATAAAGTCTTACCGTTTCAATAATCTAAGTCTGTAAAATATTCACCATTGAAATCATAATTAAAATATTTCAAGATCTACCCAAGGACTGAGTATTGAGTCTTATGCACTTAGCTCTTTAGCAGTTTTACCTTAAATGATTCCTTGTAAAAGAGGAAATCAATCAAAACTCGTGGGATTTTAGTGCAAAAAGCCTGAACTTCTATTTTTGTATTTGAGAATTTAAATCATAGTTTATGATGGTTAACATTATTCTTTCTACTCATGTTGCTCCGAACATTAGTAAACACTGATCATTTCATCTGGAAAATCTAAAACACTGGGGATATTATGAAATATCTAGGCATGATGAAATCTACATAAACCATGTTCGATCACAGGAATTGACACCAAATCAGTTGACCGATATTGAATGAACGGGTCAATCGCATATTCAATAGTACTCACTATTGTGTTATCAAAAACGATGCTTACCAGTTGACAAGGTGATTTAAAATCCTTGTGTAGTCAACCTGAAGATCCTGATTTCTCTGCTTTTACCCTTAGCGCAGATCCTATAGGACAGCATTACAAAACACTTATGTTTTTCATTACATTCTCAGTGCATTTCTATGCTTCGACCCACCGTGCGGTATTACGGCAACAGTAGAAATCGAACACATATACAGGTGAAAATCAGCAACACCAACGAACATCAGGCTTATATATTTCGGAAAATAGAGAAGTCAATAATAATTGTGTGCTGACTTACCTCGCTGGCGAGGAAAAGGTTCGGTTTTACCGAGAGAAACAACATCAACCTTGGAACACAGCTAAAAATGTGCTTACCCAAGCAAAGTGAAATTGCACTCGAGTTGCGTGCGCAAGACTGATAGACTGGAACTAGCCCGGAATGTGGAGGGAGAAAATTCTGGAATGGAATGGAATGGAATAGATCGGGCATGTCGTCTTGACAAAAGTCATTCTTGGTTTAATTTACTCGCTGATATCATCACAGATTACTTCTGAGATGCATTTCTCAAAACCCCCTTTTTTATCTTCTCTTTCTTTAGCCGGTAAAGGTCGAAATGAAATGTTGTTTTGTTAGTTCCTTCAATGTGAAAATCCTCCAATATCACACAGATTTTCTGAAAAAGGTTTTATAGCTTGAATAGGTCAATTTGAGTTCTATTAACACTTTCAAAATTTACATTTAGTGTTTTTCATTGATGTGGCCATAAGACATCAGCACTTATGATTCAAGAAATATTTTTTCCCGCGCGCGATTAATTGGTCTTGACACTTCACGTGATCGAATTCTCCATCTAAAACTGTGGAATATCTGGTGCTATTTTACAAGTGATACTTCCACTTAATGTACCTCAGTTTTCAAATCTTACGTCTAACAGGAAGGATAAAATAATTTTCTAAAATCTAATTCAAATCCACCGAAGTTTTTGCTATTTTACAGAAGAAGGAACATAATAGTGTCGTCCCACGCAGTGAAGGGTGAGTTACTCGCAAACATTTTGTCTCGTGCGATGTTACTTGAAAATATTTAAAGAATAATAACCAATCAAATAGCCCTCCATTTGGCCCTAAAATTGTTCATTTACTTGTCCTAGGAATTTATCTGTTCTTTGATGCAGTCAGTTTCCCTCCAGCTTCCTGTTCAGAAAGCTTTTCGCTTCTCGGAATAGATGATTGTCTGCGGACAATATCCGAGCATATTTTTGCGCCAAATCTGATGGAGGCTATTGCAGATATTTACTGTACAGAACAGGAAAACAGGGCGTCGCTTCTTTTAACTAATGACTAGAATACGCTATGCTTGCCCTTCCTCTAGATCTTGCAATGTTTGATTGGCTTTGATTGCAGCCACCTCTCAGAAGGGAAAATATCAAACCCAACCGGTCAGACTATCTTACGGAATCAGCTACTTATCAGTGACTTTTTTCAAAAGCGCTTTCGGTTATTTTTTTTTTTTTTCGTAGTAGCCTTAAGGTAGCTATGCCACAGTGAAGAGAAACAAAAACATTGTGATGAGTCTCATACAAACAGGAAGTTCCTAATAACGCAAAGGTTCGGTTTAACAAAGGGTAAGGAGGGTATCTACCGTCATGCCCCATACTCGCGTTATGTTTTACAAAATGTGAGGTTTTGTCCGATGAGCACTGAAAGATTCAAGGCGTAAAGACTATCCGGAGCCGCGGTTTTTCGCCACCTGAATTACAAGGTTTACATATTCTTGACCTAAGGAAAAAGTCTCATAAACGGGTATAAATCATGTCAGGGCCCCTTATATTAGCTGGCTTCGAAGAGAATGTCTTAGTTTATTCGCCTTTTATCGACTGTATCACGTAAATCATTGACATAGTGTGTATTGGAGATAGAAAGATAGGAAGAAAGGTAAAAAGAATCAAAGTGATTCCACGGTGAACTTGCACGTGGATATACTCTGCAGAAAATTATTAGAATATACGATTATTGTACTGATAGCTATTGATCCTGTAATTCCAAGAAACAGATAGGAGCCGTCATCGCCACATAGTCCAAGTCATGATAAGAAAACAAGGTTTGTATTTCTGCAGAATGGAAAAGTGAGCATCACACACATACTTTTTCCTTTAATTAATATGAGGAAATTTACATCACTGGTAATTAGTGGATGATGTTTCTCTCTTTCAATGCCACTAAGGACAATAAGAGGGCATTTTGAAAACCTGCTCGTATCCTTTTCGAAACAATGTTACATAGATAAAAGTTAAGCCACGTTGAACCTCTAGCTACACAATGTACGATACGATTCGTTTCTTACGAGGGATCAATCCCACGAAGTTTCACGAGTCGAGGTAAGCTCGTTAAACCTATGCCCGCAAATGAACATGAAACGCTAAACACTTTCAGCTTTGGTAGCGGGAGATTAAACACTGGAAAGCAATAAAACAGATCGTCGTACCCTCATTACTAATTTAAACTTATATAGGTTACGAAAATCTCTGAAAAAGAGAAAAAATTAAGTTCAGTGTATATACAAAGCTTTTGTCACGTTTTTCTTGCGGGTCGCTCTCTGGTTTAACATACAGCCCACTTTGGGTTTAAGAATGATATGAGACCTTGAAAATCTTTGCCACTTTGTGTTAGGTCTTTAAGATCACTGAGTTTTCACAAACAGGAAGTTTATATTCACTCCAACCTCGAGATTTGAAATCGTAGAACCTCCTTAAAAAAAAGGTATCTCCAGAATACAGCCTGTCTGAGATTGCCTTTTCTTGACAGAGACGAGATTAATAATCTCGAAGGCTTGTCCTAAACTTATACCATGTGGTATCAAGAATATTAAGAAATTTCTTAAAAAAATCAAAAATTAGTCTGCATACAATTCTTTTCATATTATTTTTTTTAAAAAGAAGTTCCTTTCTAACCTAAACTAAGGTCCAGTGTATACATATCACAACATAATTACAAGCTCCAGAAACTTTAGTAAGATCCGTCAAAGTTCTAGCAAGCCTTATTTATCAATAGCCTGTCGTTAAGACCAGTCTTTTACTTTCTCCACCCAGTAATTGGAAGTAGGAGATTGCAAAAAAAAAAAAAAAAGAATCAAAATCAAAGGTGTTGATCAGCAGAATACTGTTGGTTTGATACTGCCTCTTTTTTACTGCGGCGGAACCTTCAATCTGGAGTATAACATTCAAACGTTGAGTATAAATCAAAGACAACTAAGTCTTGCGGTTGTTTGTCGTTGATAAACTGGTCACCACTAACTACTGAAGGCCGGCGACGAAATTTGTTTATCGAGCACATTTCTGACGAACAATACCTACATCATTTTCATTGGGGAAAAAAATTCGCTAGCGGTGAAAAAATCACAAAATATCCCTCTTCCGAGAAGATGAATATGATCATCCTATGGTAAGTTGTAAAAAAATGAAGCAGCAGGAAGCAGCCCGATTTAAAAAAAAAAAGGCTTGAAAACGCAATATATCGACGAAAGATTTAAAAATGAGACAAAATTTAGAAAACTAAAACACCGATTAAGAAAACTAAATTATCAAAGTTTATAGTTGAGCACCATTGGGCGTTACTTATAAAGGAATATAGAAGGTACCACTTAATGGGACAATTACCAAATTTGAGACTTGTTTGGAGTCATCTTCACCCCATAAGAAGAACAATTAGTAACACAAAATAAAAAAACAAAAACTGCCGACTCATTCTAAACTGGATTACGACCACGAAGAATAAAATTGCAACTTTAAAGATGGTCTTGACATTCATACACCTTAACTTTCTCACTTTATTTGAAAGGGAGTAGTGTAAACTGATTTGCTCAACTAAAGATTGTGTTATGCCATCGAAAAAGTCTTAAAAGTTATTCTGCAGAAAATGAAATTAAGACCTTACTGAACCTCAACAAAGAACTGTACAATTTGTCAATACACTTTTCGTTTCCAACGGAGAATCAGTCTAACAAGTTTAACAAGTCGCAACAAGCTCCTTGAAATTATACTCGCAAATGAACATGAAATGCTAACTGCACTCAGCGTCCATAAAACAATCTCTTAGCTTGTAGCTGGGTGATTTAACACCAGAAGAGCAAGAAAATAAATCTTTAAATGCTCGTCTTCAGTTTACACTAGGAACTGTTAAGAATATTTTATGAGGTCTCTATAAAAAGCTTTCGGTAACGTATTCAACGTGAATAGCTCTAAAAATTCATCTAAGTCCCTTTTTAGAATAAGTATAATTTAAGACCTTGAACAGCTTGTCAATTCTTTTGTCACTAACATCAATTTTGTACTCGAGCTCACTTTGGTCAGCGGTCTCTGCTGTTCAGAGGCTATGGCTTGCAAATCGTAACCAATCCAAACCATAGGAATCAGCGGAATGCAGCCTTTTCTGCCCATGTCTTTTCCATTCTGCGACGAAACTGCAAATCTCTGTAGACGTCAGTATTTTGGAAAGATCAACCTGGAACGTAAAAATTTCAACAATAAAAATTTAAGTCAAAGTCAACTTCTTAGGTAATGAAGTATTGTTAGTTGTTAGCTTTGAGGAAACTGGTGATCAGTACTT